ATCTAATCATACAATAAATTATAAAGCATTTCAATACTTTATATTGAGGTGTTCATTATTAATACAATTAATGTTTGGGTTTTATTTTAAAATTTTAAATTTAATTAATTAATTAATAATTTGTATACTACAGTAAGTTATAGTACAGTAATACAATACAATACAATACAATACAATACAATACAAAACAATGGATAAGCCAGAAGTACGAAAAAACTTTATGCAAAACATCAACAAATTCTTACCACTCGTATCATTGAATACAATGTTTATGAAACTACTGGAAAGTCATTCATGTGCTCCATATTTACTAAAAACACTAAATGTAAGTGAGCCTGTTACTACAACAAATAATTATATTTAATTTAAGTATAAATACACTCACCCTTGAAAATAATAAAAGCAACAAAATATTATTATATAATACCGGTAATAGCATATTATGCATAAACAAGTTTGGTCCTATACCAAATGTACCCATAATAAATGTTATATAACTAAAGCACTAAAATATAAAAAATACATTTACAAATAAAATTAAAAATTAAAATATAATACAAATAATTAATTATAATATTTTGCTAATAAATAGGAAATTGCATCAAGCGACCTAAACGCCAAAAAACTATTCATATTTACCGAATTTAACCGAGATCGTAACGCGTGCAACGAGCTGGTTGATATACTGACCAAATGTGACCAGGAACATGCTGCCAAAGAGCTGGAACAGTACAACCAGTCCACTACACCTATAGTCTACTCGTCCGACGTTAAAATAACGGTCAAAAACGCCCACACCTTACGATCGGGCGCCTCCCGTTGGTTCGTTATGGACGGCACCCCCCGGGGGCGGGTAATCTTGTTTCTACAGCTGGATGAGCTGAAAAAGGAGGCAGATCGTTTTGACCACATTTTTCAACAAATGTATTNGGACGGCACCCCCCGGGGGCGGGTAATCTTGTTTCTACAGCTGGATGAGCTGAAAAAGGAGGCAGATCGTTTTGACCACATTTTTCAACAAATGTATTTCTCGGTCGAGATTTTCGTGAACTACTCGTGCGACCAGATTCTGGACACTCTTAAGAACGCCTCACGACAGGAGTTCAAAAAGGATGCCTTGATTGTCATGTTTATTGGCCATGGGCACGATGAAATGATCCAGGGTAGTGGTCATGGCCAGGATGAGATTCATATTAAGAAACTCATTGATCAGTTTTCGGAAAGAAATTGTCACCCGACTCTCAGACCTAAGCCCAAGATTTTTGTGTTCAATTGCTGCAGAATTAGTGAGTTTATATAGTACCTTGCTTAATATTTTAGGATTTAACAATTTTAGAGTGAATAGTATTTGATGGTAAAAATTATGAGTTAGTAGAACTGTAAACATAAATAAACAATTATATTTTATACACTAATTAGCACATGTTTATCATTATGGTGGTTTAGATTCTCGTGCATGTTTATAAATTGCCTAAGAATAACTTTAGTTTTATGTTCAAAGGATATTTTAAATTTAAACTAGCTATTTAATTTTAAATAAACATAAAAACAAATTAAACAAAATTACTATTTAATCATAAATTGCTAAAGAATTAAGGGATGAGATTAATATATAATATCCGTACATATCATTATCTAACTGTCCTTTATATAGAGACTGACATTAATTTGGAAGAGAAACGGAAGTCTATTGACGGGGAGTGGATGGACGGCACCACTCGCACCTACATCTGTTATGCCTGTGCCGAGGGTTAGACTAATTTCTAAATAAAATATTTATTTTAAGTAAAATAAAAACCTTATATTCTTTAAGGCATTCAAGCGTTTTACTCGACCAGTGGTTACACTTTGTTTGGACAGGCATTCAGTCATTGTATCGCCGAATACGCGTGCGATTCCAATTTGACACAAATATTTAGCAAGGTATTTTAAAATTTGTTAGATTATATTTGAATAATTTTTAAGTATATTTACATCTTGTATAGACATGTGAGGAATTGAACCGGGCTGATATGCCTCAACGTCCAGAGCTGACTATGAAGAATGTGGACAGGGACTTGTACTTTAACCCTGGTCTATTTAAGGCAAATAAATAGATTAAATCTGATTAAATTTTATTGCTAGAAATACAGGATTGTGTGTGAACATGCTATGAATGTTAAGTGAATTATATATCAATGAGAATTTATAACGTGCTTTATTAAATGAATTATATTTTAGTTACTTAAATATTTTTAATTAATTATAAAATAATACAAAATATTTGTTTCTAAACTTATGTACTACAAATTTATATTATTTTATTTTTAACAAAATTAAATTCAATCACTTCGAGTTATACATATATGAAAACATATATGAAAACATAAATGTTTTCCATTCAATTGTATACTAATATGCATTACTAAAAATTATAATTAATATTTAAAAATAAAAATTTATAATATTAATATAATCTATAAATAATATGTCATATTCTTGTCAACTCTTCCCTCTATTCTTCATTTGTTTCAAAACCGAAAACCATTTACTTTTAATTTTTGTCTATTTCTTAGTTTTAGTTGTATTTTCTGTAGGTTTGAGTGTTATTTTAATTTGAATTATTGCTCAGACATTGTTGGCTTTGATGGCAGGTCTCTAGATATTGAGGTCATGTCTGCAAGTTGTGGTACGGATGCAGAAATCTCAAAGAGTTTTGCCTCTGAGGGCTGATATGATGACATCGAAGTGTCCGCAAGTTATGGCACAGATATAAAGTTTTAGTGATAATTAGCTCTCATTGCAGATCTCCTGACATCAGTATCATGATCAATATAAATATATAAATGTGAGTTTCATCATTATATTTATAAATTAATAATGATTTCATTTTAATTAAATCAATTTAATATTATTCAAATATTGAGTTTGCGTTAAATGTCATTTTATTTGTACTGTATAATTAAATTTGCTTATATATTAATATTAATTATATATAATGTTACTAATCGTAAGTCTCGTGTGGATGAAAGGTTTGCTTTTATACGGCTATCACTGTTAGCAACACTTCTAACCTTACGTCTCAACGTTCATAAACATACACCAAAATTAGTGCCCCGACTCTATACAACACAATCATGAAATTCACTTTTTTCATGCTATTGTCAAAGAATATCTATATATTTATAAATGTATATAAATATTAAAATTAAACGATAATATTTTCAAATCTTTGACATTAGCCTTATATTTAATAAATATTTTTATTGGTTATAATTTTCGCCACGAAATTAGAAGTGAATTTTGTCGAAATGGATGCGAATTTTGTGTCAAACTTTCGTTTATTCTTTGTATCGAAGTTCTCCCGGGTTGGGGGTCGCCTACAATGGCAGACCTGCCACCCGACTCCTTTGGTGGAGATATAGGTGCCACTTGTAGTGGATCTATGGGTGCCACTTGTTGTGGATCTATTGGTGTCTCATTTGATGCTGGACTGGTTGTTGTTGGTGGTGGTGGTGGGGCCGGTACAGTGGTTGAGTGTGGCTGAACGGGAACAGTATGTTGTGGTACTGGTGCCGATTGTAACGGAAGCAGAACTGATTTCCGTTGAATTGCTGCTCCAGATAGTAGTAGTCGTGTTGATTGGGGTACTGGTGGCGGAACGGGTTCTGCGTTTATGGGTTCATTAGTTGTGGGACCGTATTGTTAGGGCCCGGGGCTCACAAACCCTGAGCATTCAGGAGAAGATCGCTGTCTATATTACTTACTCGGAACGGGCGGTCCATTTGAAGGCTTTACAACAGGGGGACGGGAGGGCTGGCCCTTGTGGTGGTAGGCCTGGCTCTGTTGGCTTTAGTTGGCGAACGACTTAATTCATTGTAATCGTCGGAGTCGTCGCCAATGCCCTGATGGGCGGACAGACCCGACCGGACAGTGAGTCGGGAGTTGTCGTGCGCTTTGTTTTTGCAATTTATATAATTTATGATTAAAAGGATTTGAGTCGAGATTAATAAGACTCTCATTTTGGAGGCACTGGTAATCGCATGTAATTTTAAATATGTTTTTTTGAATGAATTCGCAATGAAATTAATTACTTTTTAATTAAATATTTATTTGTGAATTAAATTTTGTGAACACAGTATTCGGTTTCACAAAATAACGTAACCATTGATTTAATTCAAACAATTAAATGATAGTGTTGTAAAATTAATGTGTATTTAATAAATTAATTTTATTTACTAGTTAATATAAAATAAATAATAAATTTGACATGGCTTATAGAGGTGTCTGTGGTTATTGTGTCTGAATGGAGATCTC